CATTGGCGTTTACAGCACTGCTCGTTCGATCCACATTGGTAGTCGTACGAACAGCCATAACAACGCTGTCTGCAGATTTTATCTGTACAACAGGACTGAGGGTAGGAACAATCACTGTCGTCGTTGCAGTAGGTAGCACTTCCCAAAGCAAAGAAACAGACGAAAAGAAAGCATAAAAGCTCCCTAGAGGCCATTGTCCTTTCACAATTTCAATGGCGTCCGTTCGATGTGCGGAAATAATTTGATGAATTAGGCGTGGTTGGCTGGTTTCCAAATTCTTTCCAGAACTACCATGGAAACCGCCACTGATGGTGGGAAGGGGGTAGGGGCAGGGGAAAGGGAACGATAGGGGAGATTGGAGGGAAATAGGGGAAATGCTGTTACCATAAATAACCTCGAAACGGGGATGGTTCAGTACCTTTCGAGTCAGGCCAAAGCTAAAATTGAAACAAATGCCCAGATATTGAACAAGAAACCACAGTCATTCGTAAACATTGATCTCCGATAAGGATATGTACCAACGAGGGGGTGAACAGCGAGAAATACCCACATAACGCATGTGTGGGATATCACTGAAATCCTGCATGATATCGAGTTTAATTTTGGGGCCCTCGGATTTAACCTTTGTAGAGCGGGGCGGGGTCGATATTCCCCCTAATTAACAATAATGTCCACAAAGGCGTGGTATGTTCGAAAGGGGTACCCTTTCATTCAGATTTCGAGTTGCGAGGCTACATGAGTTGAGCTTCAGTTACAAGGAAACTCTTGAGCAAGGGAAAAAGAGCGAATGTACTAGTCGTGATTGGATTAATTTCTGAATCTGGTGAAGAAGATTGAGCGATCCGTAGTTTTTTAAACATTTGTGAATACTCAAGTGAAAAGGTTTGATGAAATTAAAAGTTTCTGCAACCACGAGAAAGCCGAATCATCATCCTTGATTTACATGTACCTTGAATCACCCACCCTTATAAACCAAAATTTCTTAACATTAGGTTTACAATTTAAGATCGCATCTCCCCTTTCTTAATTTAAAAAAAAAGATCTGGTATATTTCATATTAAAAAGTGAAATATTAAAAACCTTGAGTTTAATGGAAAATCATGACGTTACAATATACAAAAGTTAGTTTCCTGACATTGAAGTAGTGGTGACTTTATTACCGAATAAGAGTTCGCCTTAGGGTATTTATTATTCTTTTTTTGTTCATTTTTTTTCTATAATAAAAATCATTTTCTAGCTCTCTATAGAATCAATGGAAACATCGTAAACAAGGGCACTAACTCTATGGAGACACATCGATCGTAAAACCAACTGTATTTCCGCAAGCATCCGCCGTAATTTCATGAAAATTAATGACGAACTTCCGGGAAGATTAATTGTCACGCAAGTAATGTTCCGTAAGTCCCGTTTTGATGGCGCCCCGCTCACCGGCCAAGTCGCCCAGAAGCAAGTTAACATAGAAACAAACGGCAACTCATTTATATACCGTATTCACGTATGACATAGACTCCTATATGAGTGGTAGAGAGTAATTTTGCATTGACCAGTCTAGGCGTTGGATTGAATTTAGAGAAAAGTTATGATTGCCATCCCAAGATTCTTATCCAGTCGTCGATTTCCCGACAATAAGCTTAAATTTCCTCGTTAGTCGAATTGCTTTCACGCTCAGTTAGATTGTACGCTTACGAACGGTGAAAAAAATAAAACACAGCTAGCATAATTCTAAAATTATCACCACTAATCGGCGTTACCACCAGCCCTAAATAATCGCTAAAAACTACGACTTATCCACCAGTTGGCGTTATCCGGCTCAGAGGACCAGAATGAATTGTCGCGTTAAACGCTTCCGCTACAAAGATAAGTACTGTAATTCACAATTCAACCATTTATTACTTTTTCTTAACCACGAGGTCGCGTAAAATCACATGACCTTAACGTTAATAATTCAATGGCACGCAATGCGTGCAAACAAGGTAAAAAAAAATATTAATATATATAGGAAGTCTGCAAGTCGATTTTGCGTGGAACAGTGCTCAATGCGTTGAAGCAGAGCAGAATAAATATTATGAGAGGGAAAAAGGGGCGCAATATCGATGTTCAGTCGCGACAAGCCAACTACGTCTCGTGTTTCTCCCTGCGCTTCTTTCGTGCTCTAGCCGCTTCCTGCGTGCTTTGAAACAGAACAGAGCACAGTCAAGACTTTGTATTTGTTAAATCAACGTCAACACATCCGCTTCTGACTAGGATTGTAAAACATCACAATTTTTCTTGCATTTTACTTCTCTGATACAAGCGAACTTGCAATTGTCAAGACCTCTTTCTTCAATGCCAACCCAACTTAATGAAACCATCTTCTTATAGTAGGTTTTGGTTCTCACAAAGCCCAACTTGAATTTTAATTTCAAATAGTGTCTGCATCTGCCAGTATGATGAAGATGTCCGCCAAATACAAGGTCCTTTTAGACTAAATATGGCAGGACAAAATCGGTATTTAACCAGTTTCTTTTAGCTAATTAACGTCTCCTTCATTAGGTCTCATCGTACAAAAGCTTCCGCGACAAATGCATGATTAGGTTCAAGACTGAAAGCAAAGATGTAGCACTATGCATATGTTTTACACCTGGTTGGTCGCGACAGATCTCGTCAGATTTGATGAAAACAAATCGCCCAAACACAAGCTTCTCAATAAATTTACAAGCACAAAGAAAAAGTTCGGAATATCCGAAGTAAAATTCGCTTGCGAACCAGTCACCTGCATACCAAACTGAACCTTACACACGGCAGCTGATTAACAGCAATTTATTATTAAAAAAACATTGCTACAACACACAAAGCTGAATACTGCTCGACATCGACATAACATATGTTGTCGAAGGATCTGCTGAAGATGCGATCAGCTAAAAGTAATACTTTACAAAGGTGGCAGCTCAGATATTGCAACAACAACCTGGCCAATTCAAAAAAATTTAAGCTGCGATATTCTATTACCGAGATTGACTGTTATACAACACGATCGACATTCGCCATCTTGAAAATTTCATAGGCGGAAATAGATTGAAAACTATCGATGGAAGCATAGACTGGATCAAATACAGTCACATCGGTTTAATATGGCAGTTAAGTGAACCACATTTCTAAGAATACAATATTCAATCTGGAAAAACGATGCAAATGGCCCGACTCACCTTTCTCTGACAAAAATCCTCTCCACAAGGAAACTATGTCTACTTTTTGTTTTTCTTTGTGTGACGAAAGCAAAATGGAAGATTAAATAAGCAGATATACAGCATACAGGTCATTCTATTCTTCATGCACTCCTTAAAATATTGAAACTATCCCTAAAAAATACTAACATACATTCAGCATTCAGTAACTTGACTACGTTTACGTTTATGTGAGTGGAAATTAAACCGAAAGATGTTTATTTCACCGGAACAGTTCTGTTGGGTGGTTATTTTTATTAGCACGTGTTCGGTTGTCCAGCGTTTATTGCAGCCGGCATCGGCACCGCTTGAACTTGTCCCGGCTGTGGAGGATATTGGTTTGGTGGTGGCGGTGGATAGCTCGGGTAAGGTGGAGGTGCCTGATTAAAGCCTTGAGGAGGCGGGTTGTTACCAGCTGCTGGAGGCTGATTGTAGTTCACCGGCGGAGGAGCATGTACTTGTTGCGGCGTCAAGTGTGTGTGAGTTGAGACCATTTGTTGTTGTGGCTGTTGGCCGGTGACGACCGCAGTACGGGGTGTACGATAGCGGTAGTATGGGCAACAAGCACAGCAGAGACAGGACACAATGGAAATGATGATGGCGAAGAAAATAATTGTGCTGATAATAGCGCCTGCAATAGCTCCGCCACTCCAACCACAGTATGATGACGAACAAACTCCCCCACAACAATCCTCTCCAATGTCACAATCGGAGTCGTACGTACAGTAACAAGAAGACGAACTACTGATGCATTTGCTATTACAGCATTTCTTGCTCGATCGACATTGGTGGTCGTACGAACAGGAACAAGAAGACGAACTACTGATGCATTTGCCATTACAGCACTGCTGGCTAATGTGACACTGGTAGTCGTTAGAACAGGAACAAGTGGACGAACTACTGATGCATTTGTTATTACAGCATTGCCCGTAAGTTCCACACTGGTAGTCGTACAAACAGTAACACCTCTGTCTACAGACTTTATCTGAACAACAGGA